GGCGATGACGACAGCCGCATCTATAATCTTGAAAAATGTCCTTCTAGTTTTTTTTTTTCGGCTGTTGCCAGTCATGCAGCAACAGCAACACTCTTCATTTAAAGTAAAGCAAAAAAAAAAATTCAGAATATGATACCATTTTTTTTTTGTATGTTAACTGTAAGTATACTAAAAAAAAAAAGGAAAAAAAAGAAAAGTAACGAAATGAGAGTGCATCAATCATGCACAACCAAATATGTTAAATATAAGGTAAAAAAAGAAGAAGAAGAAAAAAAACTTCAGTTTGCTAAAGTACGTGTTTTATGTAATATATTTTATTTCAGATCATGACAAACATTTACTATTAGCTGTATTTTTCTCGTTTCTTTTTTTTTTTTTCTTGTTATTAACTGATACAACTATGACTGATAAGCATTCAACTGATCAGAATAATAATAATAATAATCATAATCATAACAAGAAAAAAGTTACTGATAGTAGTGACGAAAAAATTGAGAATTGCAATAATGGAATAACTGAATCGACACATGATGGTAAGGAGTAGAAGCAAAAATGATGAATTATTATTCAATTTTTTTTTTTTTGCTAGCTTACGATAAACTTCGAGATTCAGCAAGCAGTACTTCCTCCAATAGCCTGAAAAGACGTAAGTAATTTTTTTTTTTTCTTCTTCATTAATTGATTTAAATCAATTAATAAATATCATTGAATTATCTATTTTTCTTATTTAGAAAAAAATCGATTTTGTTCATCATCAATGAATCAATTAGGTGGTGAATTTATTAATGGTCGACCATTACCAACTGATACACGTGAACGAATAGTTGAATTAGCTGAAAGTGGCGTACGTCCATGTGAAATAAGTCGTCAAGTAATAAACAATACAAAAACAAAAAACAAAAATGTCTCGATTTAATTTCTTTTTTATTTAGCTTCAAGTATCACATGGTTGTGTTAGTAAAATATTAAAAAGGTAAAATATCTGAAAGTCATACAAAACAAAAAAAATTCATGTTATAATTTTCTCAAGATCAAAATGTTTCTTCTTCGATTATAGTGTAAGAGACTAAAAAAAAAAAAGATAATAAAACTATCGGTGATGGTGGTTATATACTGAATAAATATGCATGACTAACATAAGAATTTTTTTTTATAAATAGAAAATTCAATAAATTTGATTTGTTTATTTAAAATAGATATCGTCTATTTGGTACAACACATCCTGGTTTAATTGGTGGTTCAAAGCCAAAAGTAGCTACACCAGATGTTGTCCGACGTATTCGTGAATATAAAGGAAATAATCCTCAAATATTTGCATGGCAAATTCGTGAAAGTCTTCAAAAAGAAGGCATATGTCCATCGGATAAATTACCAAGTGTATCATCAATAAATCGAATTGTTCGTAGTAATCGACGAATTGTTTTTAATAATGATGGAAGTTTTACTGGTATGAGAACAAAAAAAGGAAAGAAAAGAAATTTTGTTGTTTTTTTTTTTTTTTTTTTTTTTTAGAATTTGATTCTGATTTTGATTCTCATGATGGTAGTGATAATGAAAATGAAATTTCAATTAAATCAGAAGTAAGAAAAAAGAACAAAAAAAATTTAATTTTTACAATTTATTTTTTATTTAAGTCAAGTCAAACTTCATCATCATCTCGTTCATCAAATATTCGTCATCGTGGTGATTGTCGTTGTGATGTTTGTATAAAAAAATATAAATTTGCTCCATCATCGTCATCATCATCATTAAATAATAATAATACAACAAAAAAATCAACACATGTTGATCATGAAGAAACAAGTAAACATATTTTAATTAAATCATTTAAAAAAATAATTTGTTTTTTAAAAAAAAAGGTGATTCGAACAGTATGTCAATGACCGCAATCTCTGATGATGATCAAATAAAACAATCCCCTCCACCACCACCTGCTATACATTGTCGTTTAACACCAACAAATATTGATGATGATGTTAAACCACTTGATTTATCAAAAAAACAAGATGAACAACCATTAAATTTATGTTCAAAACGTAAACGATCTATACCTGTTAGTTTATCAAAACGAAATAATACTACTACTACTACTTCTAATAATAATAATAATAATAATACATTAAATTCTTCTTCATTGATAACAACAAATCCAACATCATCAATGTTTATACCATTTTATGCAATGTCACCATTTTTTGATTCAAATATAACAACAAATCAACAAGAAATCTTTCAACAAATGCAAACATATTATTTACAGTTACAACAAAAATTAACAAAGAATAAATAAAAAAAAAAAAAAAAAAAGAAATGCAAAATTTATTCTATATTGATCTAGTCAAATAGAGAACATCTATATATGAAAGAAAACAAACTTTTAATGTCCTTTTTTGGACTATTTTGTGAAATGATTGTTGTATCTAGACTTGTTTGCTTGTAATTTACAGTCGTTAATTTTCTTTCTCTTTTTTTCTTCTTTTTTTTTTTTTTTGCTCCATTGTTTTTCTTCCTTGATTTTTTTTCTTTTCGTTTGTCAAATGAGAATGACATGTGCCATTGAAAAGAATATATTAATTGATTCGATATAACGAATACAAAAATTTCGACATTATTGTTGAAATATTTTGAAAGTCAATTCGATATTCGAAATATAATCTATTAATTATTCAATGACATTAGACGATGCTTTCTATCTTGTATAAATCGATACTTCGATGTGAAAGTTTTTACAATCGAATGGATTTCATTGTTATTGGTTAAGAAATAAGTTAGAATGAAGAAACATTTGTCTTCGAATACGCTAGAAAATAGGATTAGTCAATTCTGAATGAGATTTGGTGACATTTCTCTTCAACTGTTCTGCAACATGCGTTATTCTCTATATTTGTACTTCGTTTTTATTTTCTTACATAGTTATTCGCATTCTAGCCACTATTCATCAATTGCCAACAAGCCGGATTTAATCATTTTTACTATACGTGCTTTCGACGAGTATCGTATCGTGTTTATTGGAATGATTTCTTCGTTGCCTTTGCTTACAATGAATGAGTACTCAATGATCTGTGATATAATTATTGAAAAAAATACTTAAAAACGCTTCTTAATTAATCTGATGGATGGCTATTATTAGAACCTTCGTTGTTAAATGCTCAGAGCATTCGATGGTTAAAAAAAAAAAAGAAGATGATTTAAATATTCGATATCTACAAAGATTGATGTGTCTGCATTGGCTACAAGATGAATGGTATAACACAGTATAGCGATATTTTCGAAAATATTCTGAAAACCTCTAGTATTTCTGCTTCTCATATCTATTACTTATTCTTTCTCTTCTTTTTGTATTTTTAACATAATCTTTTAATATGTTAGTCATATGTCCCTTTAAGATCGACAGAATCAGAGGATTAAATAATCTAATATAAGACTGAATGAGACTACATATATTCATATTAATTTAAGATAATATGTATTATATGTCATGCAGAAGAAGAAACTACACGTTTTTTTTTCTTTTTATAGGTGTATTATAATTTATTATTTATGAAAATATTTTTGTTACAAATGAATTTATAAAAAAATAAAGAAAATGAAAGGTCAAAAAAATAACAAAATAATTCTTTATAATTTAAAATTGAATATTTGACTTTTCGCAGAATGAAAGCTAGAAACCGATCATCATCATCATCATCAGCTTTTAATATTCTATTTTGATTTGCTTACAATTTAAAATTTGTCTTTTTTTTTTTTTTTAACATTTCAAAATTAAAAACAAAACAAACTTTTTTTTGCTTGTGATTTCAAGTAATTCTTATTATTTATTATATAATAATAGTACTTATACAGTGAATAATGAATATGTTTTGATATTCTACATTGTATTATACTCAAGAATATATATAACTTTTTTGTAATTCTACCTTAAAAAACTATAAAAATCCAATATTTTAAATATTTTGTAAGTCAATTCAAACTACAATAAATGAAATAATAATATATCTTTTCTTCTGTCATAAATAAAATTTCCACTCTCATCAATCAAACTGTATATTTCTTTATTAGGCAATGAATAAAACAAACGAATAATTTAGTACTTGACAGATTCTATTATTCTAACAAGGTTATTTATATCGTTGTCATGTAACATCATAACTAGCATCATAGGTCATATTACGACCTATTGAGCTAGAATAGGTCATACAAATAACAGAAGAAAAATAAAAGTTCTGAGAAAAATTTCTAAAAAAAAAAACAAAGGAAAAAACATTTTCTTCGTTATTATCCTTCTGTTTTTTTCATAGATGTATATGTTTATCATCAAATAATAATTGATTCAATAATTATTTGCAGATATATGAAGGTTATTTTTATTAGTTGGAATACATTTTTTGTTTTTTTTTTCTGACAATTTCATCAATCAGAACTGTAACAATATAAATATCTGACTTTACAAAAAGAAAAATAAATTCAAAAGATTTTTAAAAATCTCACGTTTTCTATAATATAAAAACATCTTTTTTTTTACAAATAAATAAAAAAATTAATCTATCAATTAATATACATTTTGTAATACTTCTATTGTTCAAATGTGACGAAGTTATATGTAATTGATTTGTGTTAATTAAATTTTGTTTCTATCTTTGCAATCAATATTTGAAAGAAATATTGGACTAGGACAAAAAAAAAAAAGAAAGAAAATTTTATTTCCCGTTTCCTTTATTCAATAAAATGATATTTTTATCGATAAATCTTCAATTTTCTTTTGTATATATACGTAATAACTTCTCGTTGAGAAAAAAAACGAATAGATGTTTGTACATAGTCACGTCTCGTCTTTTTTCCCTTCTTTATCTTCCTCTTTCTCTCTATCATTACTTATCCATGTATGATCTTGGATCAAAAAAAAAAAAGAAGGAAAAGAAAAGAAATGTTTTGTGTATCTTACGAGTATAAGAACAGATGGTAATATTACTGCAAACAAGACATACTAATCTTTCATAGACATGCCCCGTAAGACGAATCTTATTCTACTCATTATTCTTTTAAATACTATAATACATATTGAAGCATCAGAACTTAAAAAATTTATAAATAAATTATCTCGAACAACAGAAAAACTAAAAAATCAATTATTCGAATTTTTTTATCGTTTTCGTGCTTTTTTTATTGGTCATTCAGAATCAACACATAATTTAATGACGACAAGAGGTTGTGGATATGCTATTGATGATGAACCAATGATTTATAATAAACAAGCAAATATTAGATCAAAAATAAAAGGTGGTGATGATGCTATTTGGCATACATGGTAAGAAAAAAAAAAAAAAGTTAATTTTTATTTTCTTTTTTTTTTTTTTGTAAGGCCATGGATGGTTGCATTATTTACAAATCCACGTCATGGTTGGAGTTGTGCAGGTGTACTTATTAATGAAAATACAATTTTAACAGCTGCACATTGTTTATCACGTACAACAACTAATGATTTGAAAGCAATTATTGGTGTACATACTATACTTGGAAAATTAAATCCATTAAATTATTATTCAATTAAATCAATACATCAACATCCAAATTTTAATAATTGTTGTAAAAATGATTTAGCTGTAATTAAATTAACAAAATCTGTACTTTTTGGACCGAAAATAAATTCTGTTTGTTTACCATTTCAACAAGAAATTTCTATTAGTAATGATCAAGATTTAATTAATCGTACAGGTATTATTATTGGATGGGGTGAAAGTTCACAAAATACAATGACAAATATTATTAAAAGTTTTACTTTACAACAAGGTATGATTTAAAATAGTATTTTATCTTCCGGAAGAGTATTTTAAAACTTTAATAGAGTCAAATCGATCCACCGCCGCCTACTCGGCTTCTACACTAGATAAAAACAAAAAAAGAAACGTTAAATTATTGAATTAAATTTATGTTATATTTTCTAAATTCTTCTATTGTAAATATAACGGAAGAACAATCAAAGTTATACTTTTTCTTCAAAGAAAACGATTCAATCAAGTTTTATACGAGTATAAAACTTAAGGGGAAAAAATACAAAAAAAAAAAAAAATCTTTTCATCTAATCGTGATTAAATTCATTTCCGGGAAAAAACAAAATTTACTTTTTTTTCTTTTGTTATAATTTTAGCTGATATACGTATTTTTGACAATGCTTATTGTCGTCGTGCATATGAAAATATATTTGATCCAACAACAGAAATTTGTGCCGGTGATTATGATCAACGAACAGATACAATGGTAAATAAATTTTAATATACAAAATTTAAAAAACAAAAAATTATTTTATTAAATAGAGTGGTGATTCAGGTGGTCCTTTACTTATACGTCAATCTGATGGTCGTTGGATTGTTCTTGGTATAACATCATATGGTTCAGCAATAACACCACATATAGCTCCTGGTGTTTATGTTAAATTATCTGCATATGAAGAATGGCTTGAACCATATTTAAAATCGAATTAATTTTTAATAAACTCTTTTTTTTTTTTTGCTAACTAAATTATATTTTAATCAATTTGATTTTCGCATGTATTTGAAAATGTCAGACATTCTGTGATTGTGTATGTATGTCTATCAATCGGATTATTTCAAACTATTTTTTTTTTGCTTTGTTTTGTCGTGCGTAAATACATTGCTCGTCCACCTTTATTATTTTCTGTGCATGGAAAACAAAAATAATAATCTATTTGGGAAAAAAAAAGAAGGGTAATATATGTGTGCGTGTTCAAAGAGAGAGAGAGAGAGAAAAAAAAAAGAATAGAATTGCGGGAAACGACAGACTAGATAGACCAAACTGCATTACACAGACACGGAAAAAAAAAACGGAGAAAAGAAAATACATGATAAAAAGCGCGCGCATGTATGCACACAACAATAGACTCACAAGAGGCATGAAAAAGAGTGCAAGAATTTTTTGTAATTTTCCGTTTTTTTTTTTCTTTCTCCTCATATTTCTTTGCATAATTATCCAAATGAAATAAAATAAACAACAAAAAAAAAAAAAAAATGACTCCTGGAATTTATCTTCAAATCTTGAGGTTTTACAAAAAAAAAAGAAAAAACATAACGCACATTCATCTGACTTGACTGACATAACACATACGTAGACAAAAAGCGACAAAAAAAAAGAAAAGAACAAAAATTTTTTCAATTTTAATTGATTGAATTAATCAATCATTATGATCTAGTACATACTAATATTTGTACGAACATAAAAGAAAAGAACATAAAAATGCTGTTCTTTTTGCTTATTAATATATATATATGTATATAGCCTAGGGAAACAAAGAACTAAAAATTGGAAATTTATTAAAATTGATACAGCCACAAAGTCCTATGATATGAATTGAACATATCTAAAACAAAAAAATAAAATGAAAATAATTAATAATAAATGAAAAACTATCAATTATTCATGTTTTACATGTAAAAATAAGAAAGAAATTTTTTTTTCCTAGAGAAAAAAAATTAATTTAGAATATTTATATTGTTAAAAAAAGAATAGAAAAACATTCAATTAATATTTTGTCATTCTTTTAGCTATCTAAATTCTGTATCACAATCAAGATTTATTGTCATTCTAACTTCCTGCTTTGTCATATTCAAAAAAAAACAAAACAAAAGACAAAAGTCAAATTATAATTGTCAAGGTCTATCAACGGAAATCTATATTGATAGATTTCCCTATTGTCTCGTATTCGAGTCAAAAAAAAAATAGTTTTTTAATACAGTGACTTTTATTTTTTTTTTCCTCTCCCTCTCTATCGTTAACTTACACTATCTTTTGATGCCAAGCCATCCGGCGACCATCGACGCGAGAATAACAATAATTACAGCCAAACAAATAAGTATAATAATTTTTTTCTACAAAATAAAAGAATTCCATTTTTCTTTTTTGTTTTGTTAAATCCTCAGAAAAATACAAAAACAACAAGCAGACAAAAAACATCAACGAACATATATATATATATACAAATTAAGTGTCATTGAAATCAAAGAAATACAACATATTGAATAGTTTGCGGAGTTTTTCCTTCTTTCTTTCTTTCCTTTCTATTTTGTTTTTTTTTTCACTTATCACATTGCATTTAATGTGAGACCGATTATTAAATGAGCAATGAACGTCGACATGAAGTGAATTACTATGAATAGGCAACACTTCTTTTTTTTTTTTTTTTCATAATAAAGAATATATTATGTGTATTTTGAAGTGGATATATCCAGACCGTTGAGTGTTAGTAATGATGAAGAGAAAAGGAAAAAAAAAGACTAAGGATAATTTAATAGTTGTAGGCAATGAACCGGAAGACAATAACTGATGAGAAAAAAAAAGAAAGATCGAATGGTGTTAGATCATTCTAAGTTAATGATGATTCGGATCCTTTAAAAGGGACACAAAGCAAATAACAAACACCACGAACAGTCAATAATCATTTATATGAATACATTGACTTTCTTTTTTTTTTTGACTTACTTAACAATAAAATTAAGCAGGATAGGGTTTGTGAAGATGTATGATACAATGTTCATTTTCTTTTTGATTTATATAAATATGTGTAATTCAATAAATATGACAAATAAACAAGCAACAAAAATACAATAAAAATAAATTAAATGAATAATAATATAAATATATATTGTACTTAATCACATGCACATAAAAGACACACAAACCACACACAAAAAAAAAAAAAAATATGAAGCAAAATAATAAGAAAGACATCAATCGTACATATCTGTGCACTAAATTCTCTTATAATTTTTTCAAATAAAAAAATATCAATCATTCAAAAAAAAAAAAGGACTATTCATGGATTTGAAAAGTATACATAAATTAAAAAAACGAAAATTATAAAAAAAAATAATCCCTAATTATTATTTTTTTTTTGATACGACGATTGCTACAATCGTTACCACGATGACGACCAGTACAATAGTAATTACGAGACAGATAATTAATTTCTTTAAAATAAGAAAAAGTACAAACGAAAAATTGTTGATAGTTATTTTATTTTATTTTTTTCACATTTTATAGCCATGTTACGAGCATTGCTGTTTAATTTTCTTATCTAACTATTCTGAGATAGCGTTGATATATAATACATTTTTTTTTTGATTATAATGAGCTGTTTCAAGATTTTTTCGTTGTAAAATAAATTACAAGTACAAGCACAATAATAATTACAACAATCACCAGGATTAAAATAAGAATAATCTTTTTCTAAATAAATAGTTTTTATTGATTATGATTATTGAAAATAATGAAAAATGATTTTGAATCCCCTATTGAATCATCAGCATTATAAATTATAGATCACTCGAATATACAAAAACAAAAAACAAAAAAGCTTTTCATCAACATTTAGATAGCATGCATTTTTGACACATTCACAACATAAATGTGCTTGTATTTTTTTTTTTAGCTTTATTATAACTTACTCGTCGTGCTGCACTTTGAAATTTAACTGCTTTCTTTGTATCTGTACTTGCAGCTTTGACAAAATTTTCTGATTGAACTACATTATATTCAATTCGATCAATCATTTCACCCTATGAGAAACGAAAAACAAAATAATAATAATAATGGAATCATTCTGAAATTTAAAATTAAAAAAAAAAAACAAATTTTTACTTGTGTTTGAACAAGAGCAGCCATATCAATAAACATATCATGTAATTCTTTAATACTTTTTTCTAATTTCATAATATCACCATGTCGTGCTTCAATATCAGCAAGTGATTGTTTAGCTTGTGCTGTTTCAACCATAATCTATATTAATTATATATATATCTCAGATAGAAAATTTTCATTATCAAAAAGAAAGTTTTTTTTTGTCTCTAATCTTACGCCTTGTGTAAATACGGCTGGATTTCCTGATTCGAGCATTTCTTCAACTTCACCATCAGTTACTGATCGTCCAGCTAGAATAATAATATTTTATTATTTAAATGAATTAACAAAAAATAATATTAAAAGCAAGAATAAATTTTCTTTTTTTTTGTTTTTTGTCTCACTGATCTCAAGTTGTCGTTGTATTCTCTCTTTGCATTTTTGTCGATAAGCCACCTGTACTTGATTATAATTATTCATAACATCACGAAATTTTTGTGTTAAAACAAAGAACTATTAAACACAAAACAACATAAATACAAAAGCAACAACAACATTTAAATCATTCAAAAACATAAACGACACAATACGATGACACAAAAAATATTTAATATATTCCTCACTGATTTCAAGTTGACGTTGAATACGAGCTTTACATCGTTCTCGATATTCAATTTCAGCATTTCGATATGAATTCATTACATCAATAAATTTACGTGATAATGTTGCATGCTAAATTAAATAAAAAAAAAATATGAACTATCTTTTTTTTTTTGCTAATAAAATTTATCAAAAAACAAAAAACAAACAAATCAGAAAGGAATGAAGAAGAATTGAATAAATCGTCGTATTGTGTCGTCTATATTCGTTTTTTTTGTTTTTACTACCTGTACTTTTCCAATTCGTGTGTGTGCTGGACTATTATTTGTTGTTTGTTCGTGATCATCTTCCATTTCTGTAATGAGGATTTAAAACAAAAAAAAGAACGAACAAAGAATCACAAAACAAAACAACGTTTAAAACAAATAAATATATATATATAGGTTTATAGACAACATTTAAAATGGCACCTGTGTTTTTCGTATACGTAAATCGGCTGTACGCCATGCATTTTCATTTCCTTCCTGTTCTATTTCAGTTTCCATAGCTAAATTTTATTTATTTGATAGAAATCGGAAAATTTCGATTTTAAAAATTTTTATTTTCTTTTTATTTTCTTTTAATTTCTTCTTACTTTTTAGTCTTAAACGAACATCATTAGCTAATTTTTTAATATCAGCCATTTTTTCTTCTAATTCTTCTTTTGTTCGATCATCAGCTTGTGGTGCAGCTAATATTGTTGAATGAAGACGTTTAACTTCATCGACAAGTTCACTTATTTTATCAATATTTGTTCGTAATGAATCAACATGAGCAAAAAAATCGGACATAAAACGACTATTATCATCCATATTAAGTGCAACATAAGCGGCATCTGGATCGCTATCTTCAGTATTTTGTGCCTAAAAATTTTATTTTAATTAATTAATTTAAATGAAATTTTAAAAAAACAAAAACTTACAGCCCGCAAAGCGGGCAATCGATCTTTTGTCATTGAAGAAATTTGATTTGAATTTAATTTAGATTTCTATTAGACAAATCATGACATTGGAAGAAATCTAAAACAAAAACAAACATTATGACATATCGATTTATATACAACCGATTTGTTATATAGAAACTAGACAACAAAAAGAAATTCGATGAATCATTATTCAATATGTATTGGAATACTAACCAACAAACTATTCATGATAGAATGCCATTAAAGTTGACATTTGCTTTTTTCTTACTCTATTGTGTTTATAATCAAAACGTTTGTGCACTATTAACAAAGAATTTTAACCAATCAGAATTAATTGATGAGTCATTATTTTTATCTAACACGCAAGATTATAGATAATAATAGAAAAAAAAGGAAGGGTCTGTATTGTTTTAGTAGGTGTGTATCAACTGATCTATTTGTAAAGATTTCAAACATGAATAGAACACTTAATCGAGTTTTTGTTATTGGTGTTGGCATGACTAAGGTTGAGAAAGTTCTTGTTTTGAAAGAATTACATTTATTATAAGATGTTGCATGATTTCTTTTTAGTTTGAAAAACCAGGTCGACGATCAGATTTTGATTATCCAGACATGGCTAAAGAAGCTGTTACAGATGCTATTAAAGATGCTGGAATATCATATAAAGATTTTGAACAAGCTTTTGTTGGCTATGTTTATGGTACAAAAGGAAATTAATCTTTTTTTTTGTTTTTTAAATATTAGAAATTAGTTCTGGGTTATAAGTGAGACGAGATATTAAAGAAGATATTGTCAACTTTTGTGGAAATCTTTCTCTCTCTCTCTGAAAGTTTTCCATGGTTTTAGAGAGCATCATTAATTTTCTTTGAAATAGAAAGTTTTATTTGAATACTTAAGAAAGATCAATTCTTTTATTTGTTTTTATAGCAAAGAGAATGTTTTACTTGTGTTGTCAAGACGAGAAATGTGTATTTGTTTTACTTGTAACTGATTTCTTGCTGACTTCAAAAGGCTTTTCTTTTCCTTCTGAATAAAACCAAACAAGAGAACTATGTAGATGGATGGTTTCGAGATTATTAAAACTTTGTGTAAACAATCTTTATTTATGGATTCTTTATAATATAAGTTAGTCAAATATGAAATTGAAATATTGAGATAAAATAAAACTAGATTTTTCAAATAAATAAGATATTATTTTTTATACATCATCTATAGATTATAAATATTCCAAGATATTAAAAAGAAAAAATTTTTTAAGGTCTCATATGATTTTGAAGTTAATTAAAATATTTATTATTCATAAATTCAAAATATTAATGTTAATTTTAATTCTGAATTTCTTTATTTCTTAGATTCTATTCTATATACAAGTATATAAATCAAAAATCCATCTTATCTTTTGTTCTACAGGAAATAAATTAATTTAAAACAATTGAAATATTTCATTTGAAATTTATCTAACGAGGGAAGTGTTCCAACTGATTAATTACTTTCGAGTCAAGACTATGTGCGTCATATAAACTCTGTCGAGCTACGAGTACACTGAAAAGAGTTCATACTCATAGCTTATTACTGGCAAGGTACTGCATTTTTACGGTATTTTTTAAAATGAATGCGATATGCCCTCAGAAACACTCGAAAAATTCATTTTCGAATTTGTCAAGTCAGACAGACATTAAGCCCTAGAATTATCATTCCATATCTTTTCTGTCGTTCACCTCGATTCGTTAGATATCTTTCTTTTCTTTGTTTATATTCATATTTTCGTTTATTCGAGGGTATCCAAATGTCCTACTTTTATATTATATATTCAAGTGCATATTGTTTTGTATATTCTCTTCGTTCTTTTATCTTTCTCTTTTCTCTCACTTTTATTAATCTATATATATAAACCGACATGTCTATGTTTTATCAGGAAAAAAATAAATAAATAAAATACTATTGCAATAAGTGATTTTATCAATTTCGTCCAATAAATCTGGGAAAACAAAAGGCAAAGATTGACAGAATTTCGATTTTAAACTTTCCATGGAAATCATTTTTGGCGAGAATAATTTAAAGTTTATCTTTTACATTGTTCATATACAGCAGCTAATTTGATCTTCTTTCGCAATAAACTATTCTAATTCAGATCTATCTCAATGTAAAACTTCAAGTTAAAATTCGAAAATATTTTTTTTGCTAATGTTCCTAAAAGAACACCACGATATTGACTTAATAAAAACCATAAAAATACAGTATCTCAGCAAGAATAACTTAGGAATTTGAAATTTTTTCAGTATAATAAGATCTTTATATTATCTAGTCAAGTTTTCTATACTAATCATGAATATCATTTTATCTCAAGGACGTGATGCCTCTCGCTTTTGAAAATTGTACACACAGCGTTCCTTTTTTCGGAACTCAACTACTCTGCATCTCTCCCTGCTTTCAATGCTAAGTTGCGTCTCTATATTATTCATATGTATATATTTGTTCAAGGTGATAGTGCATGTGGTCAACGTGCTCTTTATACACTTGGTATGACTGGTATACCTATTGTCAATGTCAGTAATAATTGTTCTACTGGTTAGACAATATATTTCATTAATTAAGCGATATTTTTGTCTTGTTTTTCAAAGGATCATCTGCTTTATACTTAGCTGCTAAACACGTTGCAGGAGGTACGAAAATCGATAAATTATAGTTTTTTTTTTTTTTATAATTATAATGTTTTTTTGTTTTCTATTATTAAGGTTTAGTTGATTGTGTATTGGCTCTTGGTTTTGAAAAAATGCAACGTGGTTCATTATCATCAAACGTAAATGAGAATTTCTCTTTTATTTTTTTTTTTCTTAATTTATTTTTTTTTTATGTTTGAAAGTTTTCTGATCGTACAAGTCCAATGGATAAACATATTGAAAAAATGACAGAATTATATGAATTTTCAACTTCACCAGCTACTGCTCAACTTTTTGGTAATGCTGGTCGTGATTATATGAAAAAATATAGTAAATTATTTTGAAAAAAACAAACAAAACAAAATAAGAAATATAATTTTCATTTTGAATAGATGTTTCACCGGATGTATTTGCTAAAGTTGCTTGGAAAAATCATAAACATTCCAAAAATAATCCGTAAATTTTTTTTCAAAAATTTCTTTTCACAATCTTTCTATTAGAAATTCACAATTTCGTGATGAATATTCATTAGAAGAAATCAAAAATTCACCCATGATTTATGAACCCCTAACTAAATTACAATGCTGGTAAATATCAAAACATACATATATATATATATATATATATCTTCTAAATAAATTCTTATTTTTCTTAAAGTCCAACATCAGATGGTGGTGCAGCAGCTGTTATTGTTAGTGAAAGTTTTATTCAAAAACATCCTGATGTTAAAAAAAATGCTGTTGAAATTCTTGCTATTGAAATGGCAACTGATCTTCCATCAACATTCGATTCCAATGATTGCATGCGAATAGTAAAAACAAGAATTTTCTTATGGAAATAAATTTAACAAAAAAAAATGTTTCTTTAGGTTGGTTATGATATGGCTAAACGTGCTGCTCAAAAAGCTTATGCAAAAGCTGGTATTAAACCAAGTGATGTACAAGTTGTAGAATTACATGGTAATCTATTTATAAGATAGTTGAAATTTCAAAAATTAATTGAAGACAGAATCTTCTAAAAATAGACAATGCATGTGAAGTGTTACTACTTGAGAATGTCGACTTACTGATAACATGATGTAAATGATATATTTTTTCATAGAAAAAATTTAACTATCAGTATACTTTTCTTTTGTTTATCAAAATAACCTAATACCTGTAGTCATGATTTTAAAATTTTTACTTTTTTTCTACATACTATTTATTGAATCTTGGTTAACATATCTGTTTAATATGCAGGCAATTAGTTTGTCATTTGTAGTGATGTATAAAATCTATTTAAAAATAAATTTATCTTTCTAGATTGTTTTTCGGTTAATGAATTAATTACATATGAAGCTCTTGGTCTTTGTGAAGAAGGTAAATATTGATCAATAAATACTTAAGTTTATTTATTGAGAAAAAAAAAACAAAAAAATTTTTTTTAGGAAAAGCTGGTGAACTTGTTGAACGAGGTGATAATACATATGGTGGGAAATATGTTGTCAATCCTAGTGGTGGTCTAATTTCTAAAGGTCATCCATTAGGTGCTACAGGTTTAGCACAATGTGCTGAACTTTGTTGGCAATTACGTAATCAAGCTGATAAACGACAAGTTAAAGGAGCTCGTATTGGACTTCAACATAATATTGGTTTAGGTGGTGCATGTATTGTTGGTATTTATCGTCTTGCAACATTTAATAAGTATGTTACTTTTTCTTTTTTTTTTTTATTATTAAAAAATAATTCAAAATATAAATCTTAATCTTCTAGACCTCGTGTTGATTCAAAACTGTGATTTAAATTTTGAAGAAAAATCGCATTTATTGATTTTTTTTTATTGATTAATAAAAGATAAAAAAAAACAACACATGTTTGTCTTCATCTATTTTATACACGTACAAAAGAAAAGAAATATTAGTCAAATAGATAATTTATTAAATATGAAACAAAAAAAAGAAAAAAAAAAAGAAGCCCAGTATCGACATTTGGTTATTTTCCTATAATTCTTTTGTGTGTAAAATAACCAATAAGTAGAATAAGAAGAATAAGAAGAAAACTTGTTGCTAGAATAATGATAATACAAACTTTTCTCTATAAGACAAAAATAAAATAAAATAAAATAATTTCGAATTATATTAATAGAAAATGAAATTTTTTTTTTGTTTTACTTTAAAAGATTTTTTAGCATATTGCTGAGCAGCACCCACATCTCGTGTACCATCTTCAACATAGTCTACTGCTTTTGATACATTATGTTCAATACTATCGATCATTTCACCCTTTATTATAAGAAATAAAAAAAAAAAAATAAGAATAATTATAGAAATAAAAAATTCTACTTGATCTGTAACAAGCATAGCTAAATCTTGAAACATATTGTATAATTCTTTAATAGTATTTTCAAGTTTAATTATATCAAGATGACGTGCTTCAATTGCATCTAATGATTGTTTAGCTTTTTGTGTATCAACTAATATCTAGATTTTTAGATATCAAAATAAAGTTTCAAATGAAATAAAAAAAAAAAGGAAGGAAGGAAATCTTACGGAAAGATTAAATGTTCCAGGAAAACCACTTTCAAGTATGTCTTCTAATTCATCATTAGTTTTTCGATTTCCAGCTATGAAAAAAATAAGAATAAATCATATAAAAATATTAATATATATATTTGAATGTGTAGAGAGAAATAAATTTGATATTTGAATGGAGGTTTTTTTCTTTTTCTTTTAAAAATTCGAAATCTGTTTTATTGTTTAATTTTACTTGATAATTAAAAAGAAATTATGAAAAACAAAAATATTTCATTTCTTTATTTCTATGAGAAATATTTCATATATATAATTTCTTTCATTTGCTATAGTTAATCGGATTTATTATCAGAGATAAAATTGATCTATTGAAATATTAACCATGAATATCGAGATTGAGCATATCGATTGCGTTTCATATATAAGGATTAATATTATCAATAAATATACAATGACTATGTAATTGAGACTTATATTTAATAATCTTTTCTTATTATAATCTATGTATATAGTGTTTAGTGTGTATGTACCGGGTCAAAGGTTAAAGGTCAAATAAGGCTATGAGGGAAGGATCCCAGGGGCTCTCCTATAGAGGTAACCATAGGTCTTCAAGGCCTATTCTATGGGGATAGTCATAGGTCCTCAAGGACCGTCCTATAGGACACTCACAGGTCTTCAAGATCTATCGTATGATGGTACCCATAGGTCGTCAAAGGCCATCATATGGGGCACCCATAAGCCCTGAAGATAATAAGCCAATAAGTGGGTAAGGCAATAAATAAGGGGATAAGGGTACGAGAGCTATAAGGGATATAAGGTTGTAAGACCAAAGACTACATGGACTACAAAAATATGTGCGATATAAGAGTATGATGCCATAGGGCTATCTATCTATATACATAATGGCGAGTGGCCGTATGCCTACTACGGGATGAAAAACTTAACGCCTGAGGTTATACGCTTGAGGAAAAAAATAGCCGTGCAGTATGCACGGGCTCTCACTAATTTATTAATAATGTTTTTTTTTTATTAAATACATGTTAAGTTTTAATGATGTTTAATAAATGACATTAGACATATGTGAGTTTTATTTTATACAATTTTTTTTAAAAATTTTAAAGATTTATTTATATCCTTCGTTATTCATAAGTCAAATAGTTACCGATAAACATATTTCGATTATTTTAAAATTGATACTATGAATCATTGTTTTTACTCTAGATTCTTTACAATGGAGAAATTCATTTCTTTTAGACGACAAATATTTGTCATAGGAAATTCGTTGAATGTAAATGTTTGTTTTTTTTCTTCATCGATAACTTACACATTTCAAGTTCACGCACAATAACGCTTTTACATCGATCACGATGGGACATAGTTTCTTGATTATATGCAACCATTGTATCACGAAAACGTCTAGTTAATACAAATATTTGTGATTCTTTTACACGCCATTGAGCATTCGTTTTATCATGATCATCACAATTTTGTTTAGCTTGTTCCATTTCTATATAATAAAATAAGCATATATCAATATTCAAATAACAATTTTTCTTTGTGTTTTGGTTTTTATACTTTTAAGTTTTGTAGAAACTTCATATGATGAATTTTTTATTTCTTCGTTTTTATCATCAAGTTCTTGTCCTAAGTCTATAGAAATAACAAAGAAGGAAAAAAATGTTTAAAATCTCTTATTGTTTTTTTCCTCTCATCATACTAGAATTTGCCCTGGGGTCTAGCATTGCAGAATGTATTTGTTTAACTTCTTGTATAAGTTCATCAATTTTATCAATATCTAATCGAATAAGATCAATCTAAAGATAAACTATTTTAATGTCTGTTTATCAAAACAAAAAAAAAAGCCACAACTCAAAATTTATACTTCTTTTAGAAAATCGGTCACATTTGATTCATTATCAATGTTAATCGTTGTAGAATGACTATTTTCATTTTGATATTCAAGTTTTTGAAACTATAAAAGACAAAATAAAAATAAAATGAAATCTAATTGTTGTTTTTCTTTTCTTATTTATATATTAAAAATACAATATAAGCAAACTAAGAATGCATAAGATATTGATGTTAATTAAGCAAAATTACACACACACACACATATCACTCGCCCTCTCGATTTTTGTTTGTTATATTAGTTAAGATGAGCTGTTAGTTGTTTCTAAATTATGAGCATATTTTGCATGCGGTTAGAAGTTTAATACTTGTCGTGATAGTCTTCTATACGAAACATGTGGCCACGGTTTCTTTCAAAATAGACAAACAAATTTATATATATATAATATTAAAAACACCAATAAAATTAATCTTACATCTTTTTCGAGTTCTTTTATTCTATCTTTAGTCATGTGATAACTGTCAAGCTGTCATTAATAATAGAAACATAATTTATTTAATAGATTTTTATTTAGTAATGAATTACAAGAGAGACAAGAAATAATCTATATTATCTTATATGACATGTCTACTTTTCAAATCAAATAACCTATATTATGGTATGATTCATTGATAATTTAATCATTATTGAGCCAATCATTCACAACCATATAATAATCGATTGACTGATAGCGTCCTCTCTCGTTTGCTTGAATATATTACATAATTTTGCTTAAAATTTTCAGAAGTTGCTCATAGAGAGCTAATCGTTCACTAGTTGATTCTGTTTGTGCACATGCTAATATCATATTTGTTAGATTCCATTGATGATTAACATTTTCAGGAATACTATGAAGAAAATTACTAGACATTTCTCTTTTATTCGTTTCAATCGGTGGTAATAAAATATAACGACAAACTAAACAATTAAGTAAAGTACATTTTACCAAAAACTTTATACAAAAAAAACAAAATATTCTACTATATATTTATTACCTTGTTTCACATTGTAATCAGGCATATATGTACTACAATATTGATTTGGATTTAATATTTTTCGATGACTATTCTCATAATTATCATCAATATTTGTATTGAAAAATAAATTTCGTTCAACAATAATTACATATTCTAAATCAATAATTTTTATTCGTCGTTCATATTGATTATAGACAAAATTTTCTAGATTAACATCTGGATAATAAATAATTATATCTGAATTTCCTGTGTTTAATTCATGCATTGAAATAAGAAGTTCTCGAGCAAGAAAAGCCTACAAAAATACTCATTAATTATAATGATTAAAAGATGGTATTTCTTCTCTAATCGATATTTACCCAGGTCAATTATTTCAGTGACTGAATCCATGAATTTCCGACAGAAAAACTCAGGGAAATGATAAGAATTTGAAAGCAAGAAATCCGGTGATCGAATTTTTCTAGTTCTAGAAGTAATTTAGGCACAACTGACCACTGAATTTCTGCTTCCAAGTTTCTACTATTTTTCAATCAGTAATTCTCAATCTGAGTATATCTAAGATTATCGATTTATATGAAGAAAAAATTTCTTAATCATACGAAAACATACACGAAATTGAAATGATGAATGAAGATAAAACACAAGATTGGATCCTTCATTACTAACAACTCCTACTCGACCACATGCACCATAATATAATGGAATAGGAAGACCAGAATTAGATAAAGTCTAAGAAAAAAAAATATTGGAATCAAAAAAAAAAAAAAGAAAATAAATGCATTATTTATTATTCATACTGATAGTACGATAGGTTCAAGATTAATTTGTAAAGTTGTTTCTAATGATATTTGACCTTCAGAATTATTAAAACCAGTTGAAGTAATAAATCTATTGAATTAGATCATATTATCTTTTTCTTTTTTTTTGTTACGAATATTTAAATTTTAACTTACGCATTTTGAAATTTAGAAATAAATGTTGAATTAGAACAAGGTAAAAGTGTTGTTAAAGTTGTTTTTATTTGTTGAAAACATGATCGGTTCTGACGACAAACATCAAACATAATCCATTCACTTTGATGAGCCATTTTTTTGAAAATAACTAGTTGATTTTTTAATGTACCATAATAGATATTTTTTATATTAAATAGATCATTATTAAAAAATGAAAAACGTTGCCAACCTATATGAATTTTAAATGATAGAAATAAAATTTCATTCGTATTTTTGTCTTTATCAAACCTGATAATTGAACATTATTTGTTTCAAATAGATGACATAGACTTATACCAAAACAAGTAGGACAAGCATTTAATTCAAGAAAATCAATACTTGATGGTGTATAAATCAACCATTTATTGATTAAAAAGAATAATATAATTAAAACAATAAAAAGAATAAGAAACCATCGAATTCGACAAGTTCGTCTAAATCTAAGTTGCATTTAATGTAAAACAATCTGTCACTGATATTCTATGTCAATTGATTAACGTATTCATACAGATGGGAGTTTAGACATCTGTTGTTTATTGTGATATATTCAGTCGTTGAAAAATTGTATTTGTTTTTTTAATATTATTTTTTGTAAGAATGGTTTGTGTGAATAATTTAATGAAAAACGTATCGGTACCGTTCCTATGGAACTAAATAAGTGGAACTCGCATATCTTGAATAAATTAACAAAGGGAACATTCGCAGATGTCAATTCGCTTTTAATTCGAAATTATATGCGTTATATGGGCTCTAATGAGTTTATGAATACTATGAAAATAGTTCTTGCCAGTAGTATTCATTTCAAAATATAATATGCTCTACTAGTTTTTTGAATAACTTTTGACAGAAACATCATAGAAATCTGTAGATTTCACCATTCAAGAGAGCTATTGAAACACATCGTACTTGGATTGGTTAGCAGTTGATCAATCAGATGAATTCTTGATGGAGATTTTCCTCTCGAACTAAGCATCTAATAAGTCTAATCGATGCAAAAAGTTCTTCTATCTTGATCTGCGTACGACTGACATTCCTACTTATTTCATTCGAGAGTTATAGAAATTTCCTTGACATCCCCAATTTTAGTCAATTGACCTGTAATAATCCGGAAAAGTAGCTAGACAAGGGTGATTTACTATGGTGAGTCGAATGGTGATATTTGTTATTTTAGGTTTGAACTAATCTGACACTGTTATCTCAATATTTCCGAAGTGTCAACTCCTTCGTTTCATGAAGACTGATTGTAGAAATTCAGGTACATTCAGATAACAGTGTGCATGATCATAGGTCAGTTCGTTACAATCGGAGGTGTAAAAGAAATTCGTATCAGTCTCGAATGGAACAAACTAGGAATGTCAGTCGTACGTGGATCGGAAGAGAAGAATTCTTTTCTATCGATTAATCTTATTCAATATCTAAATTGAAACGAAAATAGCTTCAGAGTATCATTTTCAAAAATCTCCACCAAGAACTTATCTTATTGATCAATTGCTAACGAATCAAATTTCGATATACTTCGATGACTTCGGGTTTTCTCTCTTGAATAATGAAAACTGATAATTTCTATGATGTTTCTATCAAAAGTTATTCCAAAAAAATACTAGTAGAACACATTATATTTTGAAATGCATAGTAGTTTATTGCTGTCGAACTTTTTCATTTTTGTTTAGCTGATTGCCGCGATGCTCTTCAGGTTTTTAAATTTTGACTAGAAACCTTGCATAGAAGAAGATCACAATCAGAATAGTTTCTTGCAGTCTTAAAGATATACTTATGGTTAAGGCATGGTTTTTTTACATTGCTCATATACATCGGCCGGTTCAATGGAAACACATGAAAATTTCATAATAAACTATTCTGAGAAGAACTGCAGCGTGGTACTAAAGAAATACTGTTAAAATTCAAAAACTCTTTTTATAGTATTCATAACTCATTAGAGTTTATATAACGCATAAAACCTCGACTGTCAAGCAAATGGATACCTGAGAATATTTTCTGATAAGAAATAATTTAGTATAAATGTATTTTTCATGTGATATTTTATTTATTTAAAATTTGAATAAATAAAATACAAAACAGCAAGCATTTTCATTGCGCGTGTACTCTGTAGGGCACAAAGACAAAAGTGTTGAATTAAGGCTGTATTCATATATTTCTTCTATGTGAATTTCACAATGTTAAATATATGTAGTATGCAAATAGCTCTTATTTCTTTCCTCATATATTCGTATAAATGAAAGATATTAATGTAATACCATGAATTAAAAGAGAAAACGGACAAATTCTTTTTTTCTAATAATTGTCACGATTGTGTAAATGCGACCTTTTGTAATGATAAGCAAAACTACAAACGTCAAATATCGAAAAATCGATGTCTCATAAAAGAAACGAATAATTGTTTTTACAATTTATCACAAAACGCTTTTCGCTAAAAGATATTTACGTTTTACTTTAATCAGGGTTTTATTGTTGTGATGGACCGCAAAATTCATGCCTTTCGACTAACCAAACTGATCGAAGCATAAAAAAGGAATTGAAAAGCAGACACAGCAACATTCATCACTGTGAGAACTCTGTTAACGTGTACCAACACATTTCTGAAGAACGCTACCGATTGATCGTTTAATTATCTATTTGATTCCTTATTTATGATTAGTTGTTCTCACAGTTGTAATAGATAAAAATCAGCTTATCGAATAGACTGATGGCTAATGTTGTATCCTGGCTTTATGTTAATTATCTTGAAACTTGAACAATAGCAAAGTCTGCAAAAAGTAGGAGGTCATTATGAAGCAATATCTTCCGTACCCTCCTTTATAAAATTCAATTTTATGTTCTCTATTTTATCATTTTGATTATCAGAAGTCTTTAACTAATAAAATCAGATCTTTTAATGCATTCTGTACTGTATATCAAGTGATTGAGCTAACCAATATTTATCCATATTTTATGTTCTCAGAAAGATTAAATTATAGAATGTTTTCATGGAAAATGCTCCATTCAGTTGCTCATCTATTCAGCCAATCTACTAGTGGCGGAGCCAGGGAAGGATAGAGAGAGCTCAGTCCTCTATGGAGCTTCGAGCCTCTCTAGCGAAATTTTTGAAAGATGTATTTTTTTTTCTTCAAAAATCTCGTCAGGACGGCTCAAAGATTTGTAAATTACATGCCAAAATCCACATGTACTTTATAATTTTCATTCTTCATGTACTTATTTTCACAAAAAATAATAGAAGATGCGTAATTTCCATCAAAAATTGAATCTATAGACATATCATTTGTATATTTTTGACGAAAAAAAAAAATTTTCTGAAAAAATCCTGAGAGATATCCTCAGACAAGAAATTTCAAATAATTTTTTTGAATTGAAATGTCTCGATTTATATACCAGTGAACGTGGTTTTTGACGGAGATCATAAATTTTATATTATTTTTCTTGAAATATTTAATAAAAAAAAGCAAAAATTGTAATATACGAGCCCATTTGAGCATAAAAATGCCATAGATATTATAATATCGAGCCTATAAAAGAACTATCACGCTTCCTCATCAGCTTGCACTGTAAATAACAGAGTTTACAATTGATTAGAAACAAACTTCTCATAAATGTATGTTTATGAAAAAAATTCAGAAATTTGTATGACCTCCTTCAGCAACTTTGAGAACATCCAATCTTTTTCTCATTGAGTCAGTTCAAAAAATAAATTTTGAAATTTCTTGTCTGGGATACCTCTCAGAATTTTTTTCAAAAAAAATTTTTTTTTCATCAAAAATATACAAATGACATGTCTATAAATTCAATTTTTGGTGAAAATTACGAATCTGCTATTATTTTTTTTCGTGAAAATATGTATATGAAGAATGAAAATCGTAAACTACAAGTAGATTTTGGCATGTAATTCAAGACATTTCAATAATTTCATAGGCAATAATTGCTCTAATTACATTCATAAATTCAGTTTTTGATGAACATTAATTTGGTATAAAATATTTTGTGATATCATTTATACTTTAATTTGTAAAGGAAACGAGAATTCCATTATTATGAGAGAAGTTAATGCGAGTACAATAATAAACGATGTCGTATACAAAAATTTGCTATAATAGTTATTCTCGTAGTAAATTTGTTGGAGAAGTACTCAAGAAAGCATCAGACAATAGTTTGAGATCGAATCTTTCACAAACAATCATTTTTCCAAAAGAACTGTGCCACCCCATTGCTCTGAAGAAGTTCTTATGACAGGTTTAGATGCATTGAATTTAACTCATCAGTAAGTCTTTTATTGGTCTCTTAGAAGCAATATGAATCTCGAATTCATATTAGATTAAAATATTCACGTTTTTTGAGCTTTGATTTTGTTTTTTATTTGTTTTCTACAATCGTGATTAGAACTATAGTTTATGTATGATCTTGTAATCTTTTTCATGTGCACCCTCTCTCTCTCTCTTAACATAAAAAACAAGATCTTTATTCGATATCAAAGAACAATATAAAATCAAGAATGCTTTGTTTATACACTTATGTGTAAATAATAATGAGAATAGATTTCAAAATAATGAAAGTTTTTAATGCAATAAAAGTTAATGATATATCGAAAAACGTAGTCAGTGTGAAAATATATCGTCCAAACATTATCAATTTACTCATATACAATCATTCACATCTAATAGTTTTGTGATATACAGACTTCATTAGATTAAAAAAGAAAAAAAAAAAAATCTTAAGCTTATTTATGCATTTTAATCTATTTGTCTGTGTATAATACATTTAGAGTGATCAATTTTAAATGACTATACAATGAAAAGTATAGATGTTATTCTTATCAATATAGTTGATTAATTGATACACCTTATTGCAAAAAAAAAAGAAAAGAAAAAGAACACAAACAAACAAACGACATTTTAATGCTAATAATATTGATGATAGATGTCTACATGATAATTATCTTCATTCCAACATATAAAACATTAATATTGTTTGTATCTCTTCGTGATTTTTATTTTTTTGTTGTCTATCAAATAAATTTATCTTTGATTTCAATCCACCAAAAAAAAAAGAAAAAAAATGACATTAACCTATAATTAACATTAATCCATCATCTTTTTCTATTGACAACCATATACAATGAACAACCTTAAGACATTGTATAATATCAACATTCACTTTTGTCATTAGTTAAATAGATAGGATAGGAAAATGTTTGAAAAAAAAAAAAAAAAAAAAAGAAAAATTTTCATAATGATCATTTTTTTTTTTTAATAAGATTCGTCCATGAAATATAAGCAATAAGACTCAACATCATCAGTTAATCAAGGTATGTAAATATATGATACACGCAATGAATCAGTAAAGCAGTCATACGCTTACTTGCCTATGTAATGTGTGTGTAAAACGATAAAGAGAAGTGACAGTTGTAATGTGTCAAGTCATTTATCAAGACATTAGAGATGA